GCTAGCAGGCACTGGGGAAGTCCCTGTTCCCCCGTGCACTGCCAGGAGTGACCAGGAATAACGGTCACAAGCTGGCAGAGGGTAGATTTAGGATGATATCAGGAGGGGCTACTTCACGGTCAGGGTGGCTATGATCTGGAACCAACTTCCAAGAGAAGTGGTGCTGGCTCCTACCCTGGGGGTCTTTAAGAGGAGGCTAGATGTACACCTTGCTGGGGTTGTTTGACCCCAGTACTCTTTCCTGCCATGGCAGGGGGTTGGACTAGATGATCTGCTCAGGTCCCTTCCGACCCTAGAAACTATGAAACTATAATTAAAGGCTGCTCTTCAATTCCCCCTGTCTTCTCTTTTGCAGACTAAGCCCCCTCACCATTTTCATTGCCCTCTGCTGGACTCCCTCCAACTTGTCCATATCCTCTCTGTAGTGGGGGGCCCAAAATTGGACGCAGTACACCAGATGTAGCTTCACCAGTGCAGAATTGAGGGGAATAATTAATAACGCTCCTACTAATGCAGCCCAGTATGCTGTTAGCCTTTGTGGTAACAAGGGCACACTGTTAACACATATCCATCTTATTGTCCACTGTAACCCCAGGTCCTTTTCTGGAGAGCTGCTTAGCCAGTTGGTCCTAAGCTTGTAGCAATGCATGGTGTTCTTCTTTCCTAAGTTCAGGACTTTGCACTTATCCTTATTGATCCTCATGAGATTTCTTTTGGTCCAATCCTCCAATTTGTCTAGGTCATTCTGAGTCCTAGCCCTGCTCTCCAGCTCATCTGCTACTCTCCCCAGCTTGGTGCCATTCACGAACTTGCTGAAGGTGCACTCCATCCCATCTTCCAGATCATTAATGAAGATATTGAACAAAACTGACCCCAGGACCAACCCATGGGGCACTCCACTTGATACCAGTTGCCAACTAGACATCAAGCCATTGATCACTACCTGTTGAGCCCAACAATCTAGCCAGCTTTCTACCCACATTAGTCTAGACATCCAGCCAACCTATACATGCTTCCTTAGCTTGTTTCCAAGAATGCTGTGGGAGACCATATCAAAAACCTTGCTAAAGTCAAGGTATATCACATCCACTGCTTTCCCTGCATCCACAGAGCAAGTCATCTCATCATAAAAGGCAATCAGGTTGGTCAGGCATGACTTGCCCTTGGTGAATCCATGCTGACTTTTTTAATTACTTGAAAGAGAAAAATGGATTCCTTGAGGACCTGTTCCATTTTTTTTTCTGGGGAGTGAGGTGAGTCTGGTTGGTCTGTAGTTCCCTGGATCCTCCTCCTTCCCTTTCTTAAAGATAGGCACTATATTTGCCTTTTTCCAATTGCCAGAGACCTCCCCTGATCACCACAGGTTTTAAAAGGTAATGGCCAGCAGCTCTGGAATCATATCAGTCAAGTCCTTCAGCACCCTTGGGTGCATCCTGTCCAGCCCCGTGGACTTATACACATCCAGCTTTTCTGAGTAGTCCCTAACCTGTTCTTTCACCACTGAGGTGAAAGAATGCTACCATATGGTAGCGCCGCTGCATATCAACCTTTACTTTAGGCAGTTTATATAAGGCACTAGGGAGCTCAATGATATCTCTGCTTATGTGCTAACAGCAGAGTCTGCTTTTCATACTATTAGTTCTGACATTCTTTTTTGATCCGTTTTCAATGAGGAAGATTAAACCCCTTCATTTCAAAATAACAGTGTTTACCCCGATTAAAGTTTTGAGTATCATAGTGTATATACACGTCATATTTGGAGATGTCTCAAGGTTTTTTTTTCCTCTTTCATCTTCACATGACACTGTAAACAGATAAGTTTACAAGCAGAACATTAAGTTTTGTATTTCCCATCTTTAGGGTGTTTACAGTTGTAACCTAAATATTCTATCAACATTAAATGTACACTTCCTGATCTTCAAAGGGAAAAAGCCTAAAATTAAATTCCCTAGTGACGTTGCTACAAAGCTCTGCAGTTGTGTATTTCAAACTTTATACAGCTGTAATTCCAGCAGAAAATAGTGCCACAAAACCATACAAACCATACCTTCATAACCAGCGAACACTGATGTGATGTATGAACATTGTAATACAGTTAATAATAGCTTGAAACTCAGTGCCTGCATGTATAAAATTACCCCCCATAGACATCTGCAGAATGTGTCCATGTGCGTGTGTGTGAATGTGCGTGCGCGTGCATGGGTGCATCTTGTTTGCTTTTTTGAGGGCTGTTCGTGCTGATTTGAAGTGGCTCAAATATTTTCAGAGTATCATTTTCTCTGTTAAAATGTGATCATTTTGTGAACTTTCTTCACATCAGCCGTAGCTGCAGATCACCTGTCTTTCTATTCATGGTCACAATAATGCTGTGGCATTTTTGTGCAAAATTTAATTTAATTTAATTTAATGCAAATTAAAATATTTTAATTTGCATTAAATTATCTTAAATGAGATTGGTACCTAGTAATGAGGAGAGACAGGCTTTTCTGACCAAATAGTACTCTGTGCATCCATGGTAATCTGTGAATTACAATTTGTCTGCTTTATGCAAAACAGATTAGGTGTGGTGTTTACTGTAAACAGAATATGCTGAGGTAATTGTTTCATTCTTTGTGTCTACTCAGGACAAGAATAGAGAAATGTAATATTGTAAGTTTATCTTTCTAAGGGAATTGTGCTCAGATTTACAATTTTTAATAGGTCAGTGATGTTAGACAGAGCTGAAAACCTTCTTCATGACCACTACGGAGGAAGAGATTATTGGAATGTGAGTATTTTTTAGTTAGCTTCTCAAGATTTTTCTACTTGATTTTAATTAAAATCCAGTACTGGGTATGCTTACCATTAATGATTTTTGGCTGCCTTTCTGAATTGACACTACAACTGTGGGCAATCTCTATTACAGCCTAACGGAGCAGGATTCATAGCTTCTCTGTCAGACAGATGGATGGAATAAATCAACAAAAATGTCCTCTTGCTGCTTTGGGTGAATCTAACCCAGAGTTTTGTTCCAGTGTTCTGTTCCCAGGGCTTCAATCCTGAAAGGACCTCTATAATGATAGATATCTATGTCCAGTGCATTGAAGTCAACAGGACTCTGACCACATGCAGTTCCTTGTCCATTTGGGCCCAAGATTATAAATATTTCAAATAGGATTTCCCAAAATGTTCAGCATTGGCCTAACTACTCCCACTGAAATGAGTAATAAAACTCATTGAATTTGCTGGGAGGAGTTAGGCCAGTATTTAGCACTGGAAAGTCCCACCCAAAGAATCTGATTGAAGTTACCAGGGTATGAAAAAGATTTTCATTGCTAAATCAGCAATCCACCCATAGGAAAATAAGGCAAAAAGTGATGATTCAGCACTGTATTGAATGTCTTTATCCCCCCGTTTCTTGTGAAGCTGAACTAGATTTATATAATCTCAGATTTAAACATACTGGGTGTATCTACATGAAATGCTACTGCACATTTATTTAGAACTTCTATAATCAAGTACTAAATAAATGCACACTAACTGGAGTTACTGCACAGTAGCGCCAGCAAACATCTTTTAAGTGATGCTACTGCACAGTAGCCTAATAATACTGCACCAGTAGTGTATTAGCACTGTTAGTGCTGTGACACACTACTGTGCAGTATTATTTGGCTGCTGCACAGTTAGCATCTTGTATAGATGTGCCCACTGGTTGCAAACACAAGAGTTTTGCTGAATACCCCAAAATGTCACCAGGCACTAGTGCATCAATCAGTGTTTATTCAATTATGCAATCATTAGGCTAAGAATGGTTGTGGAAAAGCTAGTCAAATCCCCAGATCCAAAGGTAAATAACTGTGGCTTCATTTTGGTGATGGTGATGGAAGCTTTCATATTTCTTATAAATTCAGCATTGTGAAAACTGGCTAGTAAAATGACCTGTCTCACTTCAGGCACTTCCTGTTAGCAGATACCATTTCTACTGTCTAGAAATCTCTAGATTGTAACAGAACACCATCCACAGTTTGAAACTTTGCCCACTCCTCTTGCAGACAATTTGATGTATCAAATATATGATTTGATATATCAAACATAATTTAATGTTTGATTCCACCCATGAGCCATGCTGCTTGCTCCAGGTGCTAGCAATGTTATCAATTCCTGTTTCCTTCTGAGCTTCTAGAAGTTTCTGTATAATTTCTTTGTTTCCAAATAGATGCTACAAGACCACTGATCATATCATACCCATTTAAACTGATTTTAGTAGGTGTTTTAACCTAATGAAACAGAAGCTTAATGTTTGTTCTATCAAAATACTTTTGTATATGTTATGTTTGTACAATTTTTACATGAGGTAGCCCAAATGTGTGAGGGCCGGGGAAGAGGAAAACTTCCAACAAACGTTCTCATAGTTCTTCAGCTTTTCATCGTATGTATTTTTGTAGCAATGAGAACACAAAATGCCAAGAGACCACTGCCAAATTAATCTCCTAGTAAATGTGAGTGCTGTGCGCCAAAGATAAAGATGATGTAGTGGAATATGTATTTAAGGTATAATAGCAGTGGTATTATTACTGAAGAAAGGAAGGTCCATGGTGTTTGATACATGGACCACAGGTAGTTAACTGGTTGGAAGCCCAGGAGTGCTGACCTATGACACTACTACTAGTTTGTGACTGTGTTCAGAAGTGCAATTAATGCTTAGTAAGGCTGGTGCACAGTAACGTACAGGAATGTGTGTACACATGCACCCTATCGGGCATAGATTTGCGCCTAATGAGAGCAGCCCGGCTCAGGGCTGTTTCTGCCCTGGTCTGACCCCCTGCACCAGCCAGGGGGAGCTCTAGGCTCCCCCAGGTGCCAGCCCAGGGGCTGGCAGGGAACATGGGAGCCAGTCAAAATGTGCATGGGGCCAGGAGAGTTGTTCCACCTTGAGGGGCAGCTATCTCCTGGCCTTGTCCCCATGGGGACAGGTCCTAATGTGCACAGGGCTGGGAGAGTTATACTGGTTGCAGGGTCTCCCAGACCTTGCCCCATGGGGATGGATCGTGATGTGCACATGACTGGGAGAGCTGTCCCAGCAGCTGGGACTGCTGTGTCCCAGCCATGTGGAGAGTGGCTGCATCCCAGCCACTGCTTTGTCCCAACCTGCTCTCCATGTGGCTGGGACACACCAGTCCCAGTTGCTGGGACAGCTCTCCCGGCCACATAGGGATTGGGACAGGTACCAATCCCCATGTAGCAGGGAAACAGCTGCCTCTGTAAGTAGCACAGCTCCCCCCCCATCAGGGTTTAGCAAGGCAGCAACAGGCCCGCTGCTGCCTGGACTGACTGGGAGCATATTGCTCCTGGTCAATGTCTATACGTGCATTACTGCACAGTAGCTAATGCATCATTAATCTAGTACCTGTATTTCCTGGTACTAGCTAATGGCACATTAGCTTAGTTTACTTCACAGTAAGTCCATTATAAGTCTTACTCACATCTAGACAGTAATACTTTACTGTGCATTAGATTAGTCTAATGTACAGTAAAGCATCTCATGTAGATGCACCCTGTGTGTATCCTTATGTTAACTTCTAGGTATGCCTCTTCCATACCATCTTGAAATGTCCTGGGCCTGGGCCTCAGAACTGGGTTGTAACTTCTTAATATTTCATTAAGTCCATTGAAAACCATTGAAAAACTGGTTAAATAATAGGCATCTATTCACTAAACGTTAATGCCTGCCACAGGGAAAAACTGACGGACTGTACGATAGCACAAGGAATATAAACACTAACCCATTGTTTCCCAAGAACATACGAACTCATATTTACTGGGTCAGACCATAGGTCCACCTTACCAAGTGCCCTGTGTCTCTTGGTGAAAACCCCAAACTTTTGATACATAAGGCACACTTTTTCCAAATTTAAAATTGGCTGCACATTTCACTCAGTAGTCCATGGGCCAGACATGGTCTGTGGGCCCAATCCTGTACTTGGTGCTGGGCATGTCTGTGAACCAATCCAGCCCATTTTTCATGGCATGCTTCTGCTCTGATGACACATCCTTTGGAGATCACTGCACTAGACGCTTTATTTTAACCACTGTATAGGAAGTGCTCAGTACCGCAGTGGCCATTGGCTAGTAACTAACACGGAACTTAACAAAATGTTATAAAGTATGATTATTTTTTAAAGCTAAAAATATAACTTCTAAAAGATAGGAGATGTATCCATGGCTCCCTGCGGTGGCCAGTGGATGATGTGGGATGTAAATGCTGTGTGAGTAGCATTAAATGCTGGAAATTGTACAGCCTTGTATTAATAAACTAGCTGTATCCCAGAAGACCTGAAAGAAACAGCTTCTCACATGCAGGTGTTCATCACTGTCTTCCTACTCACTGGATGATTACTCAGCAGCTCCTTTCCTCTTCACAGACCCGTCGAAGTATGGTATTTGCTAAACACCTACGTGTGGTGGGGGATGAGTTCAGAAACAAATACCTTGATTCCGCTGATGAGGCAGACAAGACACATTACAATGAGGACTGGACACAGATGAAGGTAATTCCATTTGCAATCTGTCTTTCCTGTAACATTTATTCACTAAAGGATTTTGTTCACTATTTTGACCATATTTTGTGGAGAACAGTAGAAGCAAATGGGTGAGATTTTAGCTGTCAGTGCTAGTATTGTAGTTAGGCACCTACAGTGTGTCTGCTTCTCCATATGTTCCCTGCTCTGGAACTGATTTTTCACATTCAGGAACCGTTGTGATTTGAGCTCTGCTGAAAAAAAGAGCAATGCAAGGTTTCCTGTTCTCCCCCTTTCACAAAGTATGTCCTGTTCTGTTTTTATATATTCTGCATCTTGTCAAGAAGCAATGTTCAGTTTAAACTTTCAGTTACTGTTTTGATTACCCTGAGAACAGTTTTCTTCAACTTGCTATCAGGTATCAAAACACAGTTAGGAGCTATAATAAGTCTTCCCTGCCACAGGTAAAGCAGAAGGATGAGAACTGTTAGTGTCCTGTTACTGCAAGGGTTGTTAAAATGCACTCAAGAAATCTAAGGAAGAGGGTCTCTTGAATATATTTTAAAAACCCTTGCAGCAGTGGGACACTGAGGGCATCTATATATGTGGGTGACGCCTGCTCTGACATGTTCTGATAGAGTCTGCTGGAGTGTGCTAATTAGCATGCTCCAGCAGCCTCAGTGTCATGTGTATTCAGCCCTGCCCATCAAATGGGTTTTAATTAAAGCGTCTTGCTGCCATTTTGAAGTACAGGATGCTGAATACATGAGACCCTGAGGGCACTTTAATTAGAGCAGCTCCCAAGAGCCACTGTAATAAAAGTGCCACCCCTCCCCGCCACCATGGAGCACATGTAAAGACACCCTAACAGTCCTCATTCACCTGCTTTACCTGTGGCAGGGTAGGGTGCATTTGGGTAATATGCCTTGTAGTTGTGCAGCAGGGTTCATTGTGCAGTTTTAGGAATAGATTTCATAGACATTAGGGCTGGAAGGTAGATCATGAATTCCA